GGGGGGGGAGCGGCCGATCGGTCCAGGGCCAAAATATTATTTTTTTTTTTTGGACGGTCCCGTCCGGCTCTCTGAGTCACTGAACACCGAATTCGGTTGGAAGGAGGACCAACTTTAGTCCGGTTCGAAAAACGGGTCAGTTTGATGATAAAAGACTGCAGAGAAGCCGGAGGGAGCTGCTGTCCATCAGCTCGCCGGAAGTGAAAAATGTATATATATACATGTATATGTACATGTATATATGTACATATATATATATATATATATATATGTATATATGAGCAGCATTCTCATTTTACCTGGTCCTTGAGGGACACTGTGCTGTATGTTTTAGATGTGTTTCTGCTAGGGATGCATGATATTATCGGCATGGTATCGGTATTGGCTGATATTAGCGTTAAAGTTCAATACCGGACATCGGCCATTCCATTAAAATAGCTCGCCAATATAAAAAGTGCTGTTTTTGCCTGCAGCGGCAACACAATGTGATGACGGTCACTCTTTCAAGGATGAAGATGTTCACATCCTGGACAGAGAGGAACAATGGTTTGAGAGAGGAGTAAAGGAGGCCATCTTTGTGAAAAGAAATCGTCCATCATTAAACAGGGGTGGAGGCCTCTGGGTTCAACTGTCCCCCTCTTACAATGCTGTGATTGCTAGTATCACTCAGCCCTCTGTGAGTAGTAAACAGCCATCAGTGTGCTAATGACCCATTGTTAGGCTGATGGTCCTTCTTGAGCATGTGATCAGCTGGTTTTGGTTGTCAGCAGCAAACTGGTTGATCCACTCTGAGACGGTGCTATTTAAGAGACTGAGCTGAAAACAGCACCTCAGACTGAGGAAGTCTCTTGGATGAGAGACGAAACGTTTCTAGATTTTTTTGCTTTGTTTTGTTTTTTGTTTTTTTGAATGTCCAGAGGACCAGATTGAACTTTTTTGGATTTTTCTACCTGGATTATTGAGCATGCATCAGGATATAATGAAGAGCAGTGTGTGAGACCAGTGAAATTGGGAAATACTGGATTAGTTGAATTATTTTCATATTGGTGTCACTTATGCATGTGAACATTTACATAGTTTAATTTTGATTTTAAATATGAAGGTATTCTTATTCTATTAAATATCATCTCATTGTCTTCTGCAGATCATTTATTAGTTTGTTGTTAAACACAGCAAGATGATATGCTACAGTTCACAAAACTGGGATAATTCATCATCACTTGATCAGGCAATAACTTTTATTATGGGGAGTGGTGGCGCAGAGGTTAGAAGATGGGCCTGTTACCGGAAAGTTGCAGGTTCAAGTCCCGGTACCGTCAACATCAAAATGTGGGTGGAAAAGGTGAAACACCCACACCTGCCTCCACCCTCATTCGTCCCACTCTGGGCCCCTGAGCAAGGCCTTTAACCCCCATCATCTGCTCCCTAAACAGGTCTCTCTTGAAAATGAGTTCTCGTGGCTCATTGAGACTACCTGTATAAATAAAGGGTAAATGAAATAAATAAATATATATATATATATATATATATATAGTTGCAGGAGGACAAACTGCTGCTTTCTTACATATTATAGTGATGAGAAACAGTCAAACTGTCTCAGAAAATGCACACAAAGTGTTCATGAACGACAGCTTTGTCGAGATTTGCTGTAAAAACAAGGATGAGGTTGATGACAAATGTGAGGAAGAATTCATAAGAACACCATTATGGTACAGGGATAATCTGACTACAATAAATGTAATATGCCAAGCATTATTGACTTACCGTTTAGGATTTTATTTGCTCAACATATATTATATGCAACACAATTCATTACTATCTTGTTCTTTTTTGCAGAACTGTACTCACCAATGCTTTGGTAAAATACATTGTTCATTGCAAACGCCCTTTTTTAACTAAAAAGTGAAGATAGCATTTTTGATTTTGCACATTCTTCTTATTCTTATGGTTATATTTTTATTTAATTTCAATAGAACATTTTCGGAGCTGATAACTCATTTAATACAGGCTACTTATTACAAATGATAGCAATCGGTTTGAGAATGTTGAAGCTCATTTTGTAGTCAAGTCTTCTATGAATCAAATCAAAGTTACTGTGGGAAAATATTTTTTGTAAATTTTTAAAAAGACTGTCGTAACACAAGGAGTTAAATACTCGGTTGAGTTATTCTTGAGAGAAATGGTGGCAGGGCATTACTCTGCTTTAATAAAAAACACAAGTGGGTTTTGATAAGTAGAAAACAATACTTTTTAAACCCTCTGTTGCTGTTATCAATCATGTTGATCAGTATTTAACTGTCTGCTAGTTATATACAGCATGACCATTTTTCTTGTGTTTTGGGCTGAAGTAGAAAAAGACCTCTGTAACTTTGAATAGGTTGACCTAAATCATTAATTTTGAATCATCAGGACATTTTTTAAATATTAACTAAATGTTTGTTTCAGCCAACACAAGAACCCCACACTATAAGCAAAAGCACTAAAAACTTATTGTGTATTTATTCTGAAATCACAGATAAACATTTGAGATATATTAGTACAATTAATAACATCTCAAATACCTGCTCGGTGATGATTTGCTACATAGGTTGTGGAGATTTCTGATTAAATTCAGATTATTCTGTAGGTATATATAAATTAGTTGTAGAGAACGGGTTGTATGCAGGCTCGGGTCATACAAGAAATGATCACAAATAAAAACATCAAAGTTTGAGTGGGTTCAACATCGTCAAAACAAAACAAGAAAATCTGGTGCATCAAATGTTGCATTCAAATGTTTGCTGTAGTCCGTTGCTTTCGGCAGTTGAGTCATGCGATTCTTACAATGTTTTTTTTCTCTTTTACTTGAATAAAGGCATTTGGTGTCAGAATTCCATAAGTCATAATTGTCCTTTCCTATAGGTGTTGCAAAGGTGGAGGACTATACTCTCCCTGGCTACTTTGACAGGCAGGATACCCCTCTGCCTGATGTCACCTATGTTCAGGCCCTGACTCCTGAGCAGAAGTCTCTCAAGGATAAAGAGAAGGGCTCATGGGCTGCACTCTCCAATGAAGAGAAGCTTGCATGTAAGAATTAATGACACATACCATGTCTTGTTTGCCAAAATGAGGAAAGAGTGTATTTTCAAGTATATTACTTTGTTTTTAGTCTTAAACGTGTGAAAGGCTTTACTCAGAGCCATGCGCCTTTCCTTGTTTAGTGTACCGCATCAGCTTCAAAGAGAGCTTTGCTGAGATGAACCAGGGATCATCGGAGTGGAAGACTGTGTTTGGAGGCATCTTTTTCTGCGTTGGTTTCACTGGCCTGATCATTCTTTGGCAGAGACATTATGGTAAAAAAAAAAAAAAAAGTATCTAATAAGGTTGAGTCAGGTCCACTGGTCGGATTCTTCTTTGCTGAAATATTTTGTCCTTTATCCAAAAGACTTTTTCAATCATGACTTAAGTCATGACTGAAATAAACAAAACTTTTCAATAAAGAACTCGTCCAGAGGACCTGACTCAATCTTGATTTGTACAGGTCCTTCTCAAAATATTAGCATATTGTGATAAAGGTCATTATTTTCCATAATGTAATGATAAAAATGAAACTTTCATATATTTCAGATTCATTGCACACCAACTGAAATATTTCAGGTCTTTAATTGTTTTAATACTGATGATTATGGCATACAGCTCCAGACTGAGTCTGGAGTAGAAACATCCAGAGCCACCGTGCACAGGCGTGTGCAGGACATGGGCTACAGGTGCCGCATTCCCCAGGTCAAGCCACTTTTGAACCAGAAACAGCAGCAGAAGTGCCTGACCTGGGCTACAGAGAAGGAGCACTGGACTGTTGCTCAGTGGTCCAAAGTACTTTTTTCAGATGAAAGCAAATTTTGCATGTCATACGGAAATCAAGGTGCCAGAGTCTGGAGGAAGACTGGGGAGAAGGAAATGCCAAAATGCCAGAAGTCCAGTGTGAAGCACCCACAGTCAGTGATGGTCTGGGGTGCCATGTCATCTGCTGGTGTTGGTCCACTGTGTTTTATCAAGGGCAGGGTCAATGCAGCTAGCTATCAGGAGATTTTGGAGCACTTCATGCTTCCATCTGCTGAAAAGCTTTATGGAGATGAAGATTTCATTTTTCAGCACGACCTGGCACCTGCTCACAGTGCCAAAACCACTGGTAAATGGTTTACTGACCATGGTATTACTGTGCTCAATTGGCCTGCCAACTCTCCTGACCTGAACCCCATAGAGAACCTGTGGGATATTGTGAAGAGAAAGTTGAGAGACGCAAGACCCAACACTCTGGATGAACTTAAGGCCGCTATTGAAGCATCCTGGGCCTCCATAACACCTCAGCAGTGCCACAGGCTGATTGCCTCCATGCCACGCTGCATTGAAGCAGACATTCATGCAAAAGGATTCCCGACCAAGTATTGAGTGCATAACTGAACATGATTATTTGAAGGTTGGAGTTTTTTGTATTTAAAAAACTTGTCTTTAATTGGTGGGATGAAATATGTTAATTTTTCGGGACAGGCATTTTGGGTTTTCGTGAGCTTTATGCCATAATCATCAGTATTAAAACAATTAAAGTCCTGAATATTTCAGTTGGTGTGCAATGAATCTGAAATATATGAAAGTTTCATTTTTATCATAACATGGAAAATAATGACCTTTATCACAATATGCTAATTTTTTGAGAAGGACCTGTATGTGTATGTATGTATGTATGTATGTATATATATATATATACATGTGTATATATATATATATATATATATATATATATATATATATATAATTATGAAAATAACATGGAAAATGTTATTACATTTTTTCAGTAAAAATGTAATATTCTCCCAATTGTTTTCATTATTGCCTAACCTGTTTATTCCTTCTCTTTGCAGTGTTTGGACCTGTTCCACACACTTTCGACAAAGAGTACAAGGAGAAGGAGCTGCAGCGGATGCTGGACATGAGAGTCAACCCAGTGCAAGGCCTCTCATCCAAGTGGGACTACGAGAACAAGCAGTGGAAAAAGTCACAGGACCAGTAAATCATCACACACTTGAAAGCAGACCCAGCTCAAAGATACAAGAATACCTTTATTTCTGATTTTTTTGTTTTGTTCACATTTTACTGCAATCTGTGCATTTTGGAAGATCCCTTCCTCCTAAGGTCCATGTGTATAGAAGAATAAAAATTAAATTCAAACCTGTTGTTGTTTTACTTTGACACCTACATTGATTTATGTTTCACTTATTGGAGACGGGACAAAGGAGAAGTGAACAAACTTGAAAAGTACTTCCTAAGATTATTTTCTGTATTAACCCGCTGTGTTTTATGTGAAACCAGTGATGGATTGATGACTTATCCGGAGTGTAGGTACCTCTTGCTCAGTGACTGCTGGAGATGGACACCAGCTTAAACCCAGCACAGGATCAAGCAGGTATAGAAAATGGCTTTGTGACCTGTATGTTCATTCAACCTTTATTTATACAGGTTAGTCTCATTGAGCCACAATGACTCATTTACAACCGAGGCCTGTTTTTTAAAACAAGGAACACACGAAACTAAACAAAAAAACAGCTACATTAGAAAGCTATGTAAAATGCTAAAAATGTGATTGTGAATGTTATTTAGTAAACTTGTGTAACTACCTAAGCTTGTATTAGATTTTGCATTTGGAGCACCTAGCTTGCATCTGAAATACCTAAGTAAAATTTTTGAATTAGTAAATTAGTTTGAAAATATAATTTGACAGTATATCCGGTAATTGGCCCAGATTTAAATCCCATTTTTGGATATAAAGAAAAGGCACGAGGTCGTGTAAATAAATTGAAACGTTTGTTTACACACTGGCGCATTCGTCGCTTCCTAGTAGTGAAGGTTGGACTGCGCCTGTGTGCCGTGCTATGACGTCACTTCCCGGATGAACGCGGCCGTTTTACGTTCAAACAATCCGGAAGATGATGCAGCGTGACGGAACTGTCGGGGCCGCGAGATTAATGACAAACGAACCTAACGATATTTAAAAAAAATAACTTGGCAGCAGTCAGCTGCTTTAAGGTCGGAGCTCGGTCCGGTTTTTAGTTGTGGACTCAACGTTCACTGTGACGTATCGCAGGCGTTTTCAGTCTAAAGTGTAGCTCGCACTAAACTGGTCCAAAGGCATCATGGGAAATGGCATGAATAAGGTCGGTAATTAATTTTTTACATTTGGTTATTTATTTTTGTTCAGGCGTTTGTTTCGGTCAAACCAAAGACTGGGTCAAACTGGGAAACGCCCTATTAAAGTTTTCAGAGTCACTTGTTTTGCCCTCTTGTGCAATGTCTGCAAATAGGCCACAAAAGGTTGAAGGTGAACATGAAGTGTTTTTTAATGCTCCGTTTGAATTTGTCTTAAACATGGAAGTTCGAGAACAAGGAGTCCGGTTTTTCTACAACTGTTTTTTGTTTTTGTTCTGTTTGTGCATTTGTACTCGAGGCAAATGAGATTACTTTGCTTGAGCAGTAGGTTAACTCTGACCTTTAACCTTTTAGGGATGAGATAATAAAATTTATAACTACGCATTTGTGTCCACATGCAAATATTTAATGTTCTAAAATATCACCTTCGTAAATGTTTACTGACAGTATCCAAAGTTAGATCTATGCTTTCAGCTGTTCCCTCTTCAGGGGGTTCCACAGCGAGTCATCCTCCTCCATCTCTGTCCTCTGCATCCACTGTTCTCACTCCAACTACCTCCATGTCCTCTCTGCATCCATACATCTTCTCTTTAACCTTCGTCTTTGTCTTTTTCCTGGCAGCTGCATTTCTAACATGGTTAGAAATGCAGCTGCCAGTTCATCTCCCAGTTGTTCAACCTGTGCTGTAACTGATGATCTCATTCAAAATCATATCCATCCTTGTCACTCCTAATGAGAACCTCTATCTTCATTTCTGCCTCTTCCAGTTCTTTCTCCTGTCTTTTTGTCAATTCTCCATACAACATATCTGGTCTCACCACTGTCTTGTAAACTTTTCCTTTGACCTTTGCCGACACCCCTTTGTCACAAATCACTCCTGAAACTTTTTTCCATCCGCTCCATCCTGCCTGGACTCTCTTTTACCACCTCTTTACCACACTCCCCATTTTCCTGGACAGTGGACCCCAAGTACTTGAAGTCCTGCACCTTTGTGACCTCTGCTTCTTGTAGCCTCACTGTTCCACTGGGCTCCTGCTCATTCACACACATGTACTCTGTCTTATGGTTGACTTTCATTCCTCTTCTTTCAAGATTCTGTATCTGGTTCGAAATGGGAAAGTTACATTATTTTAAAATGAAGCATTTTTGGATAATTGAAAGATGTGAAATATTGTCACTTAACCTATTTTCTACTAATTTTTAGAGACTGCTATAAAACGTTTAGCTTTTTTTTTATGATCTGAAGCTTTTCAAGTAGCTAGGATGATGATCAGTTTGTTTGTTTCAAATAACTAGTAATAAACCTAGTCACTCCAAAGATTTATTTTTTTTTACTTCCGAAAATTACATTTTTATTCCCCTTTCAGCAATTTGCTGGTATAAAAAAAATATGCGCTGACCGATCCAAGTGGTCAATTTTTTGAAATATACAGTCGTTACCTGAACCATGAACCACGAGTCAACTGGGTTCCTTAATGAAAAATGTCACAGTGATGCTCAGCAGCCACGTTCTGCTCGTCACTTTGTTCTGATCGTCATGCATCGCTGCTTCAGGCCTTGTAAGGTTGTGGGGAACATTTGCTTAGTTCTTAAGCCTTAAGCCCTAAATCCAGCCTGGACTGACACAGAACATTTGTTCCTTTTCGATCCGAGTCCGTGTCAGTGTGCTGTGATGAATACTTAATGCAACATGTCTGTGATTTCTGCTTCACAGGTTGTTGATGGGCTCTACCTTGGGAATATAAGAGGTAAGACATGTTTGAAACTGGATTGAATGTTTAAATTGAGTACAGACAGCACAGCCAGGACAGGGTAGACCTCTAGTCATTATCAGGTCCAAAACAGATTGTTGCTTTAATGAGAGCACATCATACAAACCATTTGATTTTATAATTAATGTTTTTAGCATTTTTATTTTACACACACTCATCCCATTGTCTTTTATTTACTCTTTTTACTTACTTTATACCTTTTCAGGGTAATGGGGTAAAGTAGTGATTTTCAAATAATAGAAGCATTAAAGCTTTTTTGCTCACACTGAATAGTTTAGTTGTTTTTAAGATTCAAGGTTCTTTATTGTCATTTGCTTTACATGTGATACATAAGGTGGAACAAAACTGTGTACTCAAGGTCCCAGTTAGCAATAATACTGTATAAAGTATAAAACGAAACAGTATATAAGGATGTAAGATATACAATACACTAAGATAAACGCTAATAATTTGGCCGAACATGAGTCTGTAATGAGCAGATGGGTATGAATACAGCAGCATAAAGGCAAGAGATCAGCAGCATGGATAATCAGCAGCACAGATATGTCGCATAGCACCAATTAAAGTGGCATTACAGATTTTTCCTTACAATGATTATCCTGGTTTACGAGTAACAGCTTCAAGCATAAATCTTAATGGTTAAGTATTTGATGTTCCTATATTTTTGTTTTGCCAAACATCAAATTCAGCTTAAACGATATAAAACCATTAATTTACAAGATACTGAAAAGTATGAAAAGGTTCATTTTAGACCTGAAATATGGATATATATTTATGAGTGTTTGGATTCCTGGTTATGAAACCAACCTCTCCCCTGTTGGCGTGAAGTGTTCTAACTTTAGTTTCCTCCACATGATGGCACAAGTATCATGGCTAAAATTAGTGACAGGAGTGATCCCAGGCTCAACTGTTACAAAATGTATTACAGGAAAGGTGGCGACTGTCTGAACTGCCTCAGTAACTGCTTTGAATAAAGTTAAATGTGTATAAATAAAATTAGTTATTATGGTAGATTTCTGTAACATTTTAAATCCAGGTAAAAACAGGTTGTTTGGTCATATTTTTTCTTTTAGACAGTGAGTCAGATGTTATTTGTAAGTAAATATAGATCCAGGGAAAATGCCCTTGTTTTATTTTTCTAATACATGGCTATGTGGAAACTGTTTTTGACACAACACAACCCAGAGAAGGGTACTCACTATGAGTACTTCAGTTACCGTGACAGTATCACATAATATACAGTGCCTTGTGAAAGTATTCGGCCCCCTTGAACTTTTCAACCTTTTGCCACATTTCAGGCTTCAAACATAAAGATATAAAATTTTTATTTTTTGTGAAGAATCAACAACAAGTGGGACACAATTGTGAAGTGGAATGAAATTTAATTCCACTTCACGATTGTGTCCCACTTGTTGTTGATTCTTCACAAA